GCGACTGATCTGCCTCGCCCGGGAAGAGCACAATGATGGTGCCCTTGGGCCAGTGAAGCAACGTCCTCCACAACTAGACTGAAGAACAAAAACGACAGCAACTTGTCTGTTCCCATCCCCCAATTCCCCAGCGCTGTTCCCATCCCCCAATGCCCCAATAAAAATCTTTAAAAACAAACAAACAAACAAAAAAACTTAGCAGTGGATTTGGTGAAGTTGCCTTCCTGCTGCTGCTTTGTTTTCCCATTGATAGTCAGCTTAGGGGGTATTTGTTCTCTAATCTCAAACAACCATTTGAGACTACAGGACAGTGGCCAAATATCAGGCTTCATTCCCTGTAGGGTCTTTTTGAGAAAGATGCTCTTCTGAACATAAAGCTCTTCTGAACATGATATGACGCACAAAACCAAAACAGGCTTGGACCCTGGGAAAGGGAGCATATACAGTAATCCCAAGTCAAAGCCACTATGGCAAGAATCAGGAGATGGTGCAGATGGTGAGACATCTGTCACTTAGAGCAAAATTCTCCACAGAATATCTTTAAAAGTAGTAATAAAAGTTCTGTTGAAAGGAAAATGCATAGCCTTAAACACTCGAATTATGAAACAATGAATAAGGCATCTAACTCAAAAAACTAGAAAAATGAACCCAGGCAAAGCAGGAGAAAAGTGATAGTAAAGAGGAAAACAAATTTAAAAACTGAAAAATAGTAGAATTGGTAAATTCAAGAGCTGGTTCTTTGCCAGGATGGGAAGATATAAATTAGATAAACTGTCTACCCTACTCAAGAAAAAAGGGAATATAAGTGCACAAGATTAGAAATATATTTTTAAAACAGCAAGTGCTTTATAAGACTGTAAATAAACCAGAATTTTTTTTAAAGGAAACCCGGTTATCAAAATTGACTTCAGAAGAGAGAACCTAACAGACCATTAACAATGGAAGAAATTGAAAAAGTTGTCAAAAACACCAGGTCCAGATGGTGTTGTTGCAGGTGAATTTGTTTTGTTTTTATTTAAGTGTAGTTGGTATATAGCATTATATTAGTTTCAGGTGTACAGTATTCAACGTTTATGTACCTTACAATGTGATCACCTCCCTAAGTCTAGTAATCACCAGTCACCATGCAACTTTACCCCAATATTAAGGGAAAATGACAGATTGTTTTCACAAAGCCAATGGAACATTGACATCTGAACTTGACATGATAGTACTAAATTGAAAACTTTGTTATGAATAGCGATGTGAAATTTTAAAATAAAATATTAGCAGTGTTATTTAGCAATACATTAAAAGAATATTTCACCATGGCCAAGTAGGATTCATACCCATATAACAAGAGTAATTACCAAAAACATGCTAATGTATACACCAAATAAATACATCAGAAAAGAACAATAGTAATAGTTCATCATTGTTGAGCACCTGTTGTGTTCTAGACGTCTCTCCTGTTCGCTTTATATGTGTTAACTCACTTGAACCAGCCCACGAGGTAAGTAACATCCTGACTTTATAAACAAGGAAACTAAGCCATAGAGACATTGCGCAACTTGCTGAAGGTCACACATTAGATAACGTGGTGGAATCAGGATTTGAACCCAGGTAGTTAGCTGTCACTCTTAACTGTTAAACTAGCTCTGCCTCCAGCAGCCATGTGATCACCTCATTTGCTTCCTAAAAGCCTTTGACCAAAGTTCAAGATAGGTCCCTGATTTGGTGTTCATGGGAAGGGGTGGAAGTGGTTGAACTTTAGTAAAACAAGAATGTATATTCCCTATAATGTGTACAATAAGATACATCTTATAAAGAAGGCAAAATTATTCATGGTATTATATATAGTAGAAACTGAAGCAAGTCCACCAAAAAAACTGAGAAATGTTTGAAAACTCAGAGACCCTTATTATTAGTTGATCATTGGTATTAGAAAATGGAATCCCTTTTTAATGAGAAACATAATTTCCTAGTAATAGCAGTGGGCAAGGGCTTAAAGTATAATTGCAGATATACTAATTCTTAGAATGAATGCAGAATGAAGTCTTGGTGTTTTTAGTGTCATTTGTCAGATGAAATTATGTGATAGTATTAGGAAGATGTGCTTTACTTCATGCTTCTAGCACAATCCTAAAGGTGGGCAGGGATAGACAGTAAAAAGGGAACAAATTTTATATGGGCCAGTTGACCACTGAACATTTTTGTGTCATGATAACTTCCCTGTGTAAACTTGAAACTGTTAAGATTTGATTTTTGAACACTCAGATGACAAGAACTTCCTCTTTCTCAAACCAGAAGTCAGCGTCATGCTTAATGGTAATCCCTAGCAAACACACAAATGACAAGAAAAATATCAGGATTTTTACTGTTACCGTAATTTAATTTTGTTCAGGAAGTATTTGGCAACCCAGTAACGTAGAAGAAAGAAAGATACATATTATAAAGGAGAATGCAAAACTGTTTGGTAAGTTGGCTGGCTTAACCCTGACACACAAGAATTGGTAGCTTTTTCATATGCAGATAAAAAGGAGTTAGAAAATTAATTGGAAGGAAGCAGCCCATTCATAATAGTGACTGAAAGGTAAAATACCTAGATATAAGATATAGTCAACATCTATAGGGAAAAAATGTTAAATGTTGCTGAGGTTTGTAAAAAGATACAAGTAAATAGGAAGGCATCATGTAAAGTAAGGTTCAATTTTGAAAAAGTGACAGTTCTTTAAATTTATCTATAAAGTCACTTCTATAAAATACCAACAATGTTTTTGGAAGGAATATGACACAAATACACTAAAGTTTACCTGGAAAAGTATGAGAGCATGGAAAACTCGGTAATTCTGATAGCAAGAACAGAGGGAGAAGCCTGCTAGCTAATGAAAATTACTCTGATGTTACAGGTAAAACAGGTTGGTACTAGGGGAGAAATACAGGCTATTGGTGGAGCAGGATGGAGTGCAGAAATAAACGCAGGATGCCGATCGTTACTTAGGTTATGTTAACCAGTGATGAAAGTTCGTCAGTTTCGTAGTAGGCAGTCTTTTATCTTTGCTTCACTCCTCATACTGAAATTCCAGAGAGGTTACAAAATGGATAATAAATGAAAACATTGACGTTGTGGAAGTATGGGTTACTTGTTTATAATTTTAGAATAATGAATGTCGTCTAAGGAGAACACAAAACCTGGAAGCCAAGATCAATAGCTTTAAAATCCAAATTAAGAACTTCAGTATCACAAAATGATACAAAGTGGGGAAAGTAGTTGCCACAGTTTGATTACTGTAGGATTGATTTTCTTCATACACAAAGAAATTTTACAAATGAATCAGAAAAATGAAGTGTGTACAGAAAAATGGGTAACATGAAAATTTACAGTAAAAGAAATTCAAATGATCGATGGAAATGAAAAATGCTGGATTTTATTCAAAAATTTTAAATGACAAGAGTTTTTTCACCCATCAGATTGGCAGAAGTTACCTGATGCTGGAAATGGTAGGGAAACTGGTACTTACATACACTTAATAGAAATGTAAATAAATCAAGTTTTCTGGGGGCAATTTGGAGTAGCTATCAAATTAAAATGTATTTCTCTCGGGCTGGCCGAGTGGCGCATTGGTATAAGAGCTGGCTTGGGATGCCAGAAGGCCCCGGTTCGGATCCCACATATGAGGGCCAGTGACACTGCCCTCTACAGCTAAGATGCTGAACAACAGCTCAATCTGGAGCTGGGCTTCTGTGAGTCGCCGGAGTTGGCTGCAGCCCCTGCTGCAGTGGGTTGCCATGGGCTACTGTGTNCTGCACTCTTGAGTGAGCTCTTATCTAACTGAGCCACTCTGCTGGCCCTTAATGACTGGCTAATTTCTGTTAGCCACTGTTTTCTGTTTAATAACAGTCCCCATTATTACTAAGAGTCTTTACAAACTGGATGGAGTAACTAATTTGCAAAATTTTGGGAAGTAACACGAGTATACTAGGCCCAGTAAGAGTTTTAAAAATGAACATGCACAACATATTGTTCAAGTGCACAAATAGCTTGGTCTGAGTTATCAAGGAACATATATTGTTAAACGGCTTGTAGGTAGCAACTTTAGAATTTAAAATATATTATGTGTTCAGTAGGTATAAGTGAATTATTTTTATATTCATAAGTTGTGTAATCATATGTACTTTAATCTTAATGTTTTTGTTGATTATAACATTGTTTAGTTCTGAAACTGAAGAAAAAGCATAACATAGATATAACATTACATAGATGTATAAAAAATACAAAATTTTAAACTCATGTCTGTCAGCTGCAAGAGTAAGAAGTAAGGATGTAGAAGACTAAGTGATTATCAAACTATACTCGGGCACACTTCTCAAGCATCTATAGAACATTTTTTTAAACTCAAAATGCCACTGGGTTCTTTAATTGCTTAAGAGCAGAAAATATAATAGGCAGGTCTGTTTTAAACAAAAAGTTGTGCGTTTGTTTGTTTGTTTTTCAATTCTCTCAAGTCAGATATATGCACACCCACAAAAATGATGTGTGAAGGAAAGCTGTTATACACAAGTATCCTGAATTAAGGAAAACAGCTATTAAAACAGGAATTAACACAATAAAGTCAGCAGCAGGTTAACGGTTGTAAAACCTGAGTTTTCAAATGCTTCATGCCATATAAAGTACTTAAGTACTACTAGATATAAAGGAGGAAGTCGACAGCTTTTAGCAAAAAGACTTTTTTACAAAATCAGAACAGTGCAATCAGCAGACCAAGGAGGCTACAGCTAGGTTTCAGAGTTATGACTTCTCATATCTGTGCTAGAAAGTCCTATTTATCCAGAATGGACTAAAATTTCAGGACAAAACAGGGACGATTTTAACCTTTCTTACTTTATCCATTTTAAGTTCTCTCTTTCCCCTCACCCTGTTGTAATTCAGTGTGATCCAGCAGAAAGACAACTGCTTGTAGAATTGTCTATTTTATTTTTCTTTCTGTGATGAGACTGTAACGGAGCCTGGGTACTTTTTGCTTACCTGTATTTCCCTATGTATAAGGCGCACCATTTTTCAAAAAATTTGGGGTCTAAAAACTGGTTGCGCCTTACACAGTGGTTGTAGATTTTTATAATTTGCATTTCCCACTTTTTTCTCGCTTGTTTTTGCGCTCATACATCTACTGTATAAGATGCACCCAGTTTTTAGACCCCAAATTTTTTGAAAAAGGGTGTGTCTTATACATGGGGAAACACAGTATATGCATCCATGACCAGTGAACCACTGTTTGCA